ATACACATATATACAACACACCCTCCAGTACCACCTGAAGTCTCTAGCTTTTATTTATTGGTGGAGTGTTTTGTTTGTTTTTTTTTAAAACAGAGTCTCACTAGGTAGCTGAGATGGCTTTAAAGTCACTATGTAGCTTAGGCTGGCTTCGAACTCCCAGTGTTCTCCTGCCTCAGCCTCCCAAGTAGTGGAATTACAAATGTGCACAATCACAACCAGCTTTTATACTTCCTCAAAATCAACTAAAGAGATTAAATAAAATTTGGAATCAAAAGACCTGGGTTTGAGCTGAAACACTGGCTGTTACTAAGATCAGAGCCCCAGAGAAGAGCAGCAGAAACGCAGGTTTCAGAGCCTCCCAAGATGATTCTCTCCAGGGATGACTTTCCTCTAAGTTATCTGTGTAGGCAGCTTTCCACTCAAAGGCTTGGTGCTGATGTGAATATTGAGAAAATCAACTGGAAGATTCTTTTTCCCTGTAGAAATTGATTACAAGAACACATTACAAGGCTTAAACAAATTCCGTTATCCCAGGTGAGAACGAATCAGTGGTCTAAGCCAGTTAGTGTGTAGGACGGCAATGAGAACATTCAGGCACAGAGACTGGATTCTTTTTGTGCAGTGGGCGGAGTCTGAATGCTGATAAGGTGGATGGGAGGCTCATGGTATCTGAGGAGTGTGGTAAGCATGTTGCACTGGGTGGTATCCTTAGGTTGTAATAATTCTGAGTACAGAAATTCTTTCTCTAATGAACTTAATAGATGCTGTGTCTAGAACATTAGTGACTTAATTGCCTCTAAATATCTTGAGAGGTTGGAGGCCTGTGCCACCGGGGTCACACATGAGCACGTGCACTTCATCTCTTTTTCATTTTCCCTCACATCAAACAAGCTTCCATATTTCTCAGGAACTGGGAGCCTTGGCCCAGCTTACTTTTTCTTTGGGTTGTTCCTTATATCTGGGTCAACCAAGCTGAGCAAGACAGAATATTTACCACACCAATATTTACCAGCACCATGCCTGGAAGATAGGGAGATAGTCACTAAGGAAAGCTAGCTCTTCTGAGACAAGGCTGACTGGCTTTTCTGGATAAGAAACATGGTAGATGTTTCTTCACCCAGTCCTGGAGGATCTCTACAAGGACTCCACCTGGCTCTTCAGGAAGCTCCCAACCCACGAATTGAGGACTTCGCAGTGCGAGTGGCTGTGGTCAGTCTTACAAGAGAGGAGACTGCCCAGCAGTGAGGATACTGATGGATAATGGATGTGATGTCCAGGGGAGGGGTGCTGGCTCAGACTCAAGGAACTTGTCAGAATCTTGTGAGATTTTGTGTGCGGATCCACTATTTTGAATGGCAAAGCTATTAGGAAAAAAGAAGAGACTTTAGGTGGAAGGTTAGTTGATTATTCTTAGCCCCAAATCTCACTGGAATGTAAGCCTGAGTCTTACTCATTATTTATAATCCTATTTTGTGAAAGAATCATGCTATGTATAAACACAGAAATGAACAGTTACAAAAATAAAAACCATGGAGCTAATTGTACATTATCTTTGAACTTACTGAAAGAGAGACACAGAAAGAAGGTTGTTCCTTCAAAAGGTGCCTTCCTGGGGTCTCTTAGAATATGGTTTTCTGAATGTTTGCTTTATAAGAAACAACGAGGACTCTGGTATTTCCCAGAGCAAACTGCATTTTTGTTATCCAGATTCATAACAAATTACCCCAGGTGGAAACGTCAACATCTACCATGTCGCAGTGCCTGTGGAGTGAGAATCTGGGAGCACTTGCTCAGACAGGTCTCGACTGAGGTCATGGCTGAGCTGCGGGCCATGGCCTCCCTCCCTGCAGCATGATAGTCTGAAGGAGCCACCTCAAAGCTCATTTAAGCAGCCGGAGCAGCTCAGAGGCTCTACTTCCGTACTCAGGCATGGCTTCTCTCCACTGAGTGACTCAAGATCTCAAGAGAATCACCATGGTGGAAGCTGCTGTTCTTCATAACCTCATTTTGGGAATGAGATGTCACACTTTCTACATACAGATTACAGTGCAAGGATGGGTTGGGGAGAGATCAGCAGGGGCATGGATCCCTGGCTCCATTTGGCAGCTTATTATGCCCCTTCCCGATTGCTCTACATACACCTGGTCTGCAGCAGGAAGTTCACCTGGCTAGGGAAGCATGACAATGACATTAAAGTCCGAGATGTGGTGAGCCATCAGTACCCCGGTTCAGAGTGCATTTCTTGGAAAGCCCTAAAACCACATATAGTGAACCATCAATCACAAAGGGGGTGAGACGAGTTCAGGCAAATTTGTTTTATCTTAGACCATGGAACGTGTCTTCTGAGAGTTGATCCATCATGTTGTTTGGCTCTGAAGCAAACTCACAAATAGGCAGGACATTTTTAGCATGCAGGATGAGGTACGCCAGGTAGGACACCAAAGTGTAAGTTGGCAAAGAAGACTAGTTGTGTGTGTGTTGTTAACAAGCTCTGCAACACCAGGCAGGTTACTTAATCTCTTTGCACTTGTCACATCTACTTCAAAAAGTACTTTAATACATGTAGTGATGGCTACTAATACTGTACCTACAAAAAAGTTCATTTGTTGATACACTGGTTATAGTAGAATAATCAGGGAGGTTCTGAGGACAACTGACCATGTAATCACCCTTCTAGAGTAAGGGAACTGCTTCACAAAAGGGCCTGCTGTTGAGTTAGGGTTAAATAAGACCTTTTAAATACAGTGAGGTTGCAAACTGCCATGTGCTGGACACCTGGGACAGACAAATTTAGGGTTATTGAGTGGTGGCTACTCCTGCAGATTTCTGGCTTAATGGCAAGAGAGGGATTGCCCGGCAAGTACAGGTTTTGCAGATCATACCTACAGCTTATGGTTGTGTCTATTCCCACAGGTTGGTGTGCATGCATTTCTCAGAGTCTTACTGAGGGAAAATTGGCCACAGAACTCACCTATGTATATAATCCATGATTTTTAGTAAATCTAGAGCTGTACAATCCTAACCATAATCTAAATTCCAAGAAAACCCTTCATGTCCTAATGTCATCAGTTATTTTTCTAACTTCCAGGATCAGGAAACCACTCATCTATTTTCCTTCTTTCTAAATTTACACTTTCTAGAAATTTTTTATAAACGGAACTAGACAGTAGGTGGTTGTGTTCTTGTTGTTGTTGTTTTTTGTTTCTGGCTTCTCTGACATAATGAAAATTTTGTGGTGTATCCATAATGTAGCCTGTTGTTGATAGTTTATGTTTACTTCCAAATACTATCCCAGCATAGTAATGTACCACATTTTACTTCTCTTAGGCAGCTGGTAGACCATTGGAATGTCTCCAATGTAAATTATGGTGCTAGATGCTATTATGAATAATGTTGCTATGAACATTTATATAGCAATCTTTGTGGAACTATGTTTTCATTTTTCTTGGGCCTATACTTAGCAGTGGAATGACTAGATCATATGATGAACTCTATACTTAAATTTTCAAATAAGAAAAGAAGAAGAAGAAGAAGAAGAAGAAGAAGAAGAAGAAGAAGAAGAAGAGAAGAAGAAGAAGAAGAAGAAGAAGAAGAAGAAGAAGAAGAAGAGAAGAAGAAGAAGAAGAAGAAGAAGAAGAA